ACAGAGGAACACTTCCTCTGTACTTTCGTCCGACCATTTGGTGAGAAGAAATGCATAAAAGGGAACTGTCACTCACCGAAAACTACAACAAAATCTTCTTCTTCTTCTTAGCGTTCTTGTCCAACTGTTGTCGGGTACGCTTCTTTGACCAACGCTTTCCAACGGTCCCTGTAAATAGAATCGGCTGCGGACAGGCCAGCAGCAGTCATGTCCATATTTAGGTTGTCTTTCCACCGCATTCTGGGTCGGCCTTTTGGACGTTTACCGGCGAAGACGACCAACTATTCCGTAGAACAGAATGGAATGAATAGAGTAAAGTACATTGCAGTTTCAAGGGGAGTGGACGAGCTAGCATATTTACCTTTTGCACGTACCCGTAGATCGAAACTAAGCGATCCTGCTGTATATAATCCGCCATATATATGTCTGTGTGTGTCCGTGTGTGTGTGTGTTCGTGTGTGTGTCACGAAATTCATAGCGCCCGTCCCAATAGCAGTGAGACATTGATTTCAAGAAGTGTTGTAGGGAGTGTGACGGGAACACTATTGGTGGGTGACAGGAAGTGATATCAGTTGATAAGATCCGATAAGAGGCGTTAGAAGGGGAGGTCACCATATTCATAACGCGGGTGACAGCATCAGCTAGCTCTTGATTCCGAGATATGATATAGGGTATGGGCCAAGAACATTATTGGTGGGTGACAAGAACTGTAAGCTGCTGATAAGATTCGATAAGGGGCGTTAGAAAGGTGAGGTCATCGTATTCATAGCGCAGGTCACAGCATCAGCGAGGCATGCGTTTCAGCAAGTGATATAGAGGGTGAGATGGGGACATCAACCGTGGGTGACTGGAAGCGATAACTACTGATAGGGGCTGATAAGAGAAATTGCAGTCGTCGTCGCTGTTCGAGGTGGTTCACGCTACCAAATCTAGAGATTTGGCGATGAGGACATTGATGACGGGTGACAGGTAATCTTATCAATCGATAAAAACGGATAATACCATCTGCGCTACATTTTTATCACTTCTTACCGCTTTAATGCCAAGTATTAGAGGCTCAGTACGTGAACTCTTTCCTTCGATGTACGGAATCAAGGTCGTCCATTGAAGTGTTTGCTATTAGATCAGTGAAATGGTGTCGAGCGGGAGGGGGGTCTTTAATGATATGGTGCAGCCTTCTCACGGTTGAAAGTCTTTAGTAAGCATAAGTAACCAGATGTTGGTAGATAATGACTGATTGAGCTTTTTCAACTCAATTTTCTGGAGTTTAATAAAAAAATGACTGCCACCGTTTGGCACATTTAGCGCATTCTAAATCGCCCAAGGGAAAGGTGCCTGGCGAAGCCAGGCCAGCTCGGCGAAGCCGAGCTAAAGAGAAGGAGGAGAGCTCGGCGTCAGCCGGGCGATCCGACTGGTTAGCTATTAAGTTACTTGGGCGGCTGTCCTAGCGGTTTTGTTCTGGCTCCGTCAATGTGACCTAGTTCGTGACCTTATCAGATGTCAGGAGTCCCTTGTACGTCATCGACGAGGAATTCCTGAAGCAGCTGGACTCTTATCCTTCAGATGAGCGACTATATACAGTACGCAGAAATCTTCTTCACTGAAAGTGACGGAGAAGGCAGAACGAGAAGAACCTAACTAATATCTTCGCTTTCTGGCACAACCTATAGTCACTCAACCGATAATCGGTAGCTGGTTCAAAAGAGACTTTTCAATTGCGCGTCAATAATAAGTAGCCACCCACTCGTTTCGGCTCCTAACATCCATTCATTTGATACGTTTCACGTATTAGCTGGCTTGCTTCAGCTCCTCTATTTCAGATTCCGAAACGGACACTACAACGGCTCCCATCAAGTTGCGCCTAGCTAAGGGGGGATCAGATGGCATCAAGGTTGGAACCGCTATATATGGAGACGTTAGAGAAAC